CAGCCAGCAATTCCTGCAAATCCAGGGGCTCAGGGTGCCCCAAAAGCTGCAGAACCTTTTTGACCCACAAACCTTCATCAACAGGCACAGGCAGAGGCCACGTGTAGGCAGCGCTCAGGGAGCCAGGGCTGGGCTCTGTATCCAGAACAAACACCCAGATTCCTGCTGGGACCCCCCACGAGCTCCTGGGACCTGACCAAGGCCAGGTCCAGGTACTCTGGCACTTACACTAATCCCACTTTGCTTCATGCCGAGCAATTTAATTGCTTTTCATAACTCTCCTGCCACTGTGTGTCAAAAGAGCTTCAGCCTGAACTAAAATAAGCTGCAAAAGGTGAGAGGGACCTTGAACCAAGCAAAGGCATAAGGAGGAAACACACAGCAGTCCACATAAATAAATGTAATCTTTATTTAACCAAATATAATTTATCAGTTAAGTTGACATCTGTCAGTTATAGGAACTATAAATAATTAAGACAGTCTTTTTTTCCTTTAATAAAAGAATAGACCAGGATTTTCATCTGCAGGCAGCTGTAGAGTAGGCATGCATTTGAGTGCAACCAGTGGGAAGAGGTTTTTCCATCAGTATTCCTCAGTTTTAAGTTAGATTCTTCCCTGCCCTTGCCCCAAACACACCTTTATACCATATATAACACAGGGACCAGCAGCTCTCACCCCTCGGGGTCTCTGCACAGGAGACCACGAGCGGCAGATTGTTCCTCTTTTCTTGGAGAAGTGAAGAGTGATGTGACACCTAAAAGACCAGGAGAGCTTCTCCACATACACCTAAAAGCTGAAGTGTTAATGGAAGGGAGTCTCGTATCTATTCCTCAACATCAGGCAGAGAAATCGTGTGGGCGGCAGAGAACGTTCCAGAATTCTCTGGGCCGAGAGTTCAGCACAGCAGCGCAGTTGGGGTTTGGTTTGTGGTTGGGGTTTTTTGGGTTATTTTGGGCACAGCTTTGGCCAGATGAGATGTGTGAGAAGTCACCGGGGGGGGGGGGTGGAGAGGAGGATCAGAGCTGCTCCCACACGGGACATGGCACAGACTGACTTTGGTCTCGACCTGCCCCCTCGGGTGCATTGGCTCTGGTTTCTGGGAGAGGCAGGAACTGCCCCCAAGGAATCGCTCCCTGCCTAAAAAGCAAAGCTGTCTCCACTTAGGCAGCGCTTTGTAGAGCTCAGGTAGGTCTGGCATTGCCCAGACTAACAAGCAGATGTCCCCACCTGGAGTTATTTTGGGTGAAGATCAGCGCTGCCAGCACCACAACTGGGCTGCCTTCCAGACAGCCAAAGGGAGGAGACAAGCACTGGTTTGTGTGAGAAATATGGAAGTTAAGCAAAAGGAGGAAGTGGTACCAGTAAAGGATAGTCATGTTGCAGTGGGAGGAACAGGTTTAAAGCAGAAGGCAAAGAAGACAACCCCAAACCCACGCCCAAATTTCAGGTTCTGCTCCGTGCCCAACATGGCGCCCGGAGCCCTCCAGCCAGTGCCATGTGGCCAGGCTGTCAATCAAACCAGGGGCCCGCCCACACCAGGCATACCAGACATCTGATTGGCTGCAGCATCAGTCACTCTGGATTAGCAGGGCACTGAGTGGCCAGTGAACCAGTAGTCCCGCCCAGGGGGCGTGGCCACAGCAGCCAAACCCTATAAAAGAGAGGCAAAGAGACCCCATCTTCATTTTGTCTCTGGGGCTGCCATGGGGGGAGTTGGTTAGAGCTGCTCACGGGGTTTCCTCTCACTGTGTCACTGCAGGCTGTGCAAGAGCCTTTCCAACATGGACTAAACAGGGGAAGGGAAGGTATTTCAGCCATTGCTGAGCCAAGCAGCACAAAAAGCAGGAGGGGAAGAATCAGGGAAGCGAAGCCTGCACTCCCAGTGCTCAGCCAGCACTTCCAAGCTGGGCTGTCACCCCAGTCCTAGATTTTACATGCCTGTGCTCCAGCCCTCTCCTGAGAGTTGCACCAAGAGCCAGGGCTCCAGAAATCCGGCTGTGCCTGCTGACCTGTTCTCCAGCTGGTGCCTGTGCAGAGGGAGGAATCCCATGGCTGAAGGTGGATGTCTGTCTCTAACAGGCACCAAAAGCCTAATGCTGACCAGCTTGAAACACCTCAGGCTCAGCTGAGAGAGGCACTGGGTGGCTTCTTCCTGGCTGCCCTGGGTCTGTCAGCAGCACTCAGCAACTAAAAAAAAATCTGAACACAC